CCCCCCCCCCCCCACATAAATAATGACCGATCCCTGTTGCAATGTTAGCGATAAGATATGCAATAAACATGTCCAGCTTTAGCTATTAAAACCGCAACTATTCCTGAACTAGGAGAAGTAGAGTATAAGTAGTAAGTAGAAGTTGTAAAAAGGTTAAGAAGAATAAAGGCCAAGATGTAAATCAGATTCCTGGTACCTCTTCGTGTAGCGAGCGAGTTGCTCGAACACACCCCCACACGGACACTCACAATAGACAAGGATTCTGAAAAGTCATTTTAGCGGATAAATAGTCAGGAAAGCAGCAAAGAAATCACCAGGAAATCAGCAAATAATGAAAAATAATAATAAAAAAAATCAGGTAAAACGAACGATCAGGGGCACCCACCGACTGTTTTCTATAAAATGTCCTTTCGGAGAAGCAAATCATTGCCTATAATGTCCTTTTGTTTGAGGACAGCTAAACATTTTTAAATGAACGTTCAATTCATGTACAATTTTGGAAGCTCATCCCATAAATGCTCTTCGATTTTGTGAACCGGTTTAATTCTTCGTATTTACTACCTAGGTTACAGTATTTTTCGTGGAAAAACGAAACCTACAATTTTCGGATTCTGTAAAATGTCTAAAACGTGATGAAGAGAGGAGTTAGAAATATTATCACTTTCGTAAAACGTTAAATTACACCAAAAATTTTCGGAAAAATAATACCGATGCTCTTGTGATTTCGAAAAGACTCGAGTCCCAATATGATGACCGAACAGATAAGAATATTGTAGCGCCACTTAGAATGCAGAAAGTGTTTTCAAAGTATTTTTTGAGGAAGCTGTCGTTGGGTACATCTAAACAATAGATTGACTGTACAAACGTGGAGGAGTTCTGAACGTGCCAGGTGAACGTGCTGGTGCGATTGACTGTAACGCTACCTGTAAGTGACGCTGTAAAGTTAAAAAGTCATTACCGAAGCATAATTATATTCACTCTGTAATTGAGGAGGTTGCTTAAAGTGATTCATGGATAAAATTGTGGTCTTTGTTGTGAAGTATTTTGAAAGTTATTTTTAAGACGGATCTATCTTAACTTTTGAGTTTAGTTTTTGTTTCATTAAGTCTTGTTTTTGTCCACGTACTGTCTTCCTGTTTTGATCTTTTGTTTTTACTTGTACTTGAAGTTATCCTTAGCTCGCAAATTTACTTATTGCCATATTAGGAATGTTACAGGTGGTCGTGTTTGTGGTCTTAGAGCTGACCTTCGTTATTTGGTACTTATCAGTTGCGGCTGTGCGTAGGCTAGTCTATTCCCTGACAATAGCAAACCTGTTGCAGTGTTAGCGATAAGAAGTATGATAGAAACTCTTCCGGTCAGCTAACCCAAACATGTCCAGCTTTGGCTATTAAAACTGCTACTATACTTGAACTGGGGGAAGTTAGTAGAGAATAGAGAAAAGTAGAGTAGAAGTAGAGTAAGCAGAAGTTGTAAGAAGAATAAGAAGAATAAAGGCCAAGATGTAAATCAGATTCCTGGTACCTCGTCGTGTAGCGAGCGAGTTGCTCGAACACACCCCCACATATTGTTCCTCTCCTCTAAATCTCAGTTTGACCCAACAAGAGAACACACACAACCATAGGGTGCGGCTCAATTCAAGCTAAGCTCTGTTCATTCTCCGAAAAATACTAAAGGATACATGACAAATCAAAGAAAAGTAATATACAATCCAAGTAACATTCAGCTCCAAATAACTAAATCACAAGCTAACTGAAATGGGGGTCGTGGAACAATAGTTGGGTGAAAAACCTCCCCGTCACTTGCACCTAGGAGGAAAACCCCACGGGCAAGACCAACTAAATAGAAACTATAATAAATTAAAAAGCGGTACGAACGAGAAAACGAAATACCTAAAGCCTTAGAAACCGACAAACCTGAAGATAAAGAATCTCGGACATACTCGTCCTTAGCCGATTCACTAGCCCAGCGGCCATGACGCTTAAAAAGTCGGTGTGGTACGCCGGCATTTGCGGCAGCAGTAGCCCCGCCACTCCTAAGGCTATGCGTACCAATGGCAGAAATACCAGGTACAACATCTTTAAAAGCCTGCAGTACTAATTCTCTTAACCGTGAATAGCTTAAACCTTTAGATCTAGGCTTATAACAGTTATAACTATATTTAGTTTTGGAAAGCTGGCAAAACAAAGGGCTATCGCAGGAAAGCCCAGTTCTTTCTAAAGAACGGTTCATGATAGCAACCGGACAAGTTGCTTTCCCAGAAGAAGCTACAACAATCCAAGCTCCGTCCCTATACTGATCAGTTTTACTAGATTGAATAAATAACTTTAACATGTCATTTTCGATCTTAACATCGGATCGAACAAGCTTAGAAAGCTCCTCAAATCTGAGAAAGGCAGCAAAAGCTAGCGAGCAAATAACAACCGAACGAATGTCGTACAAAGAGGCCATCGAGTCCGGCTTGCAGACAACTAACTGCTATAACTGAGAGACTGTGATAGGCTCCTTCTTGGTTGTTTGATGGGCCAGCAAACGCTGCGCATCGGCAAGAATACTGTTTACCAACGGATGATCAGAAGGAGACGGCTCGCCACCGAACTGGTGAAACCAGGCAATGCTATGAACTGCCGACTCCAGGGGAGACGCACAAATAAATAGCAACGTAAAACGGAGAAGCAGGAAAAACTGTCAAGCCATGTTCTCGTGCCCAAAACCTCCAACTATTGTGAGAAGAAAAAAACTTGGAGTAAGTACTGGGAACTCTGCTAGCCAACACAGCATCCGGAAGAGAACTTGGAAGGGATTGTAAAACATCAGATCCCTGGAGAACCACCGCAGCCCGAAGATCTGACGACATTGTAGAGCTGAAAACATCTGCAAAATAAAAGCACAGAGAACACACACACACATAATAAAAAAGTCAAGAACAAACAAAAATGACCCGAACGCTGGAACAGCAAGACCGAGATGAAAGACGAAACCAGTACGCCCAAATATATACTCGCGCTAATTACCCACATACCAGCGCACATACCTGAACAAACATAAGATACCGATGAGAGCATATTTTCCTGCTAACTACCAAGCCGGGCGTTATTGTATATCTTTTCGCTCCGCTACAACCCTTTCCGGACTATACTCGTTCGTAAGACCCTCTAGAAAAGGCCGGGAAATATTCAGCAAAACACGCGCAATTTTCCTGAAAACGTCTCATTGTTTATTCGAATGTATGCCGACTTCGACCTTCTAACCTAATCGAACTCGATGAAAGTTCGCTCGGGTTCGATTACTAAAACTTTTTTGTGAGAGTTTGATTGTGTTCGATTACCGAACTTAATCGAACCCAATCGTGCGATTGAGTTCTATGATTGGGTTCGATTAATAGAATGATAGAATGGTTGATTTGGTTCGAGTGATTACGCCGGGACCAAAATCGATTTGATGAAACATAGTCAGCGAGAAATGAAAAAACGTATTTTTTTGGGTTTGTTGCCCACCTTATCGTCTTTCTTTTGCACGGAATTGTGGCTGGCTAACTTTTAAGGAAAGAGACAAATCTAATCTTCAAAGAGTAGTAGGTAAACAGCGAAATTGTTAGTCGATTTTTTCCCAAAAAATCGTTACCTCTTTTTTGTGGGTATAACTCAGTAGTGATTACCCCGCAAGCAGAGGTTCCTTTCTCGCATGGCTTTTAGCGTTCACGAAGTCGTTCGTGTGGCTTGTGTCTCGTGTACCGGAGTTGATTCAACTACGCTGCAGACAAGCCACAATAATGACTTCGTAAACGCTAAAAGCCATGCAAGAGAGAAATGGGGGGGAGAGACATGGTGGGGACCGTGTTAGATTTACACTGGGAAAACGAAAACAAAAAAAACAGGGGAGACTGGATTTTTGTCCCGCGCTGTTATTTGAATGCCTGGAACTGACTAATATCCTAATACAGTCAACTCCCGTTATAGCGGACACCCTCGGGACCGCGATTTGGTGTCCGTAATAGCGAGAGTCCGTAATAGCGGGGTGCGAGAAAATTTTTATTTTAAACCATA